AAGTGATTCTCCTGCCTCAGCCTCCTGAGTATCTGGGATTATAGATGCATGCCACCTCACTTGGCTAATTTTTGTATTTTTAGTAGAGATGGGGTTTCACCATCTTGGCCAGGCTGGTCTCGAACTCCTGACCTCATGATCCACCTGCCTCGGCCTCCCAAAGTGCTGAGATTACAGGCATGAGCCACTGCATATACACAATGGAGTACTATTCAGCCATAAAAGAATGAGGCCCTGTTTCATTAAACACTACAAACGGAACTGGAGGTCATTATGCTAAGTGATATCAGTCCAGCACAAAAAGACAAACTTTTCATGTTCTTATTTTGTGAGAGCTAAAAATGAAAACAATCGAACTTATAGAGATATAGAATAGAATGATGATTAACAGAGGCTGGGAAATGTAGGGCAAGGGGAGAGAGGATGATTAATGGGCACAAAAAGTATTTTGAAACAAGGAATATGATCTAGTATCTGATAGCACAATAGGGTGACTAGAGTCAATACTAATTTAATTGTACATCTTAAAAAAGTATATTTGGATTGCTTACAACACAAAGAATAAATGCTTGAGGTGACAGATACCTCATTTACCCCAATATAATTATTATATTGTATACCTGTATCAGAATATCCCAATACCTCATAAATATATACACTTACTCTGTACCCAGAAAAATTAAACATTTTTTAAAAATTGTATGTTTGTGACTGCTGTTAACTATAAACACATTTTGATTAATAGTAATCTTGGAATTTTACCCTGATTTAATGTTTTCACAAGGAAATCCCTTACAAAATAGAGTTTAAAAAACAATTTTAGAAAGTTTTAGATACGTTGCTTAAATACACGTGATTGCAGTTATGCCATTTAAAATACACTTGGGCTCCATAAAATTAAATTCCTGCTATGAATATGCTGTGACAAACTCTGGGACAATTTTGCAAATCTTCCTAGACATTGAGGAAGAATTAACTGTATATTAGCAATCATTGGTATCAGCCAATGTGCTATCCTTTAACATTTATGGTTGTCTCAATTATCTCTTGCTGAGAGACAAATCATGCCCAAACAACTCTTCGGCTCATGATTCTGTACACAGGTTGGGCTCAGCGGGGTAGCTCTTCTGGTCTCAGTTGAGATTTTTCATAGGTCTGATTTTCCTGGGCTTTGCTGCTGGATTCTCTCATATCCCTCTCTCCCTCATTTGGGGCAACTGTGCGTATTAGCCTCTGGTCCATGTGGTCTCTTCTCCTCCTCAAGACTAGCTCTCATTTATTCACATGGTAAAAGGCAGAATCCCAAGATAAAGAATGCGAGTTCAAGATCTTTTGAGTTCAAGGCTCAGTGCTGGCATAATGTTACTTCTGCAACAGTTTACTAACAAACAAAAGGACCAAGACCTGTTCAATAGATTCTATCTCTTGATGGGAGGAGCTGCAAAATCTCACTGAAAATAGAATGTATATAGGAAAGAAAAGATTGTGGCCAATTTTATGTCTACCAAAATGCCTTTGAAATATTTAAATATGACTTCTATTATAAATCTTGAGGCTAGCTAAATACAGATTTAAATCACTTTTAGTATTGCCTCTAATTTCTAGAATCTCATGTATTTCCCAATTGATATGCATGTCTGAATTCCTAAACTGTATCCTAGTCAGTACTTGGATAACAAAAGCTATTTACTGTTACCATACCAAGCTTTGTGCATTATAGTTTCACAATAAACAAAATATGTCTGATTAATTTATCAATGTCTGTTCATCATATTAGATATATCAAAATTACAGATGCTTTTGATGTGTAAAATGTTGAATAACTGATGTATAAATCACATGCTAAAAATTTATGATTTGAAGCAAGGTATTCTAAAGATACAATGCATTGTTCTGAAGAATTCTAAAGCAAACTATAGTTACTTATAAATACATTATCTTACACGATCATTACAAACAGTGCATATGTACCTGACAAAAGTTAAAATTTACTACCCCAACTGAACATCATTCAGAAAATATTTGCACAATAATTGAGAAGCCAAATGTTTAAACAGGTATAAGGTCTATTTACACAATTCTCAGTAAACTAGTCAGATGTTTTTCTGGATTTCTTTCTTTGTTTTTTATATTTCACAACTCAACAGTGCTTCCTCATAAATTCAATATAAGACATCACCTTGGAGGACTTGGGGTTATTTCCTATTATTCTAGTGTATAGCTGATGGTAAACTTGTTAGAAAGCTTTATTTGTTTTCCATAATTTAATGCTTGTCATTACTCACTGTGTAGTTTATATTAGGAATTATTATCCCCCTTTGAGTTGGTGCCCCCTTTCTATTGACTCCTCATAAATTTGCTTTGTTATCTCTAAAATGATCTCTTTGCAAATGAGTAACTTTTGTGCAGAAATAAAATATTATTTACATTGCATAATATGCACAGTGCAGATTACAACCAGTATATTTGTCACTTGTGAATGATCCTAAAAGGCACAAATCTTCAGCCATACAATTATCTGTCTGTCTATCTTTAGTCTATCTAAATAGGCTCATTTGAACCACAGAATTTCTATTTTGTAGGATACAAATGAGTAAAGATTATCAATTTTATAAGATCTAACTCAAAAAATATACCTTAATTTTCTCTCTCTCTTTCTCTCTCTCTGTCTCTCACACACACACACACACACACACACACACACACACAATTTAGTGGTGGGGTATAATAAGAGAGACAAATTTATAAAGCACAGGGTATATAGACACCGAAACAATAAAAATTTAGGTTATTGCTCTTTTGAGGTTTCCTGTGACAAAGAACATTGTCTAAGTAGATAATTTTGCTCTTCACTTGTAAATAAACTTTGCAAGTAGACTACCTAAATGGCATTTAAACATTTTGGATATTGCTCAAATGGAATTTGTGCTGCACTCTAAACTATAATATCGATAAAAGCAGACACATTTTAATAGAAGCTAGAAGAACAAGTCACCCCCGTGTCTCATGATGTTCTACAGTTTGAGTGGAAGTGTAATAGGAGAAGGATATGTAATCAGGTAGATTTAGTAGGGCATTAGGATAGGATATCTTAGACTGACCTATTGTGGTCTGTTACCAACATCACACATCATTCTCTCATCATTAATGTTAAAAAAACAAAATATTCATACATGTTCAACTTTTTAAAACGTTGATATTCTAAAGTTCAAGCCTAGTCAAAGTGGAACTTGGGAAATTGCTACTGTTGAGAAGAAATAAAATGGTGGCTATCATTAGTGGCATATAGTAATTGTAGAAAAGCAGATAATACAAACTTTATTTAATCTTAGTTCGTTTTCTAATTATTTGAGCATATTGTGTTTGTCTTCCAATTAGTGCTATAAGCACATTAAGAAACAACATCTTAATTTCTCTTGCAACTCCTTCTCTCAGTTGATTTGAAACAGTGCTTTACAGATAGTAGAGATTCTAAACATCCATTGTATTGATAAGACAGATACAGGGGGCAGATTTAGTAACCACAGAGAGATAAACGCCTGATTTGCAAAGATAACTTAAGAAGTATTGTGCCAGGCCAGGCACAGTGGCTCACGCCTGTAATCCCAGCACTTTGGGAGGCCGAGGCAGGTGGATCACGAGGTCAGGAGTTTGAAACCAGTCTGGCCAAGATGGTGAGACCCCATCTCTACCAAAAATACAAAAATTAGCCAGGTGAGGTGGCATGCATCTATAATCCCAGCTACTCAGGAGGTTGAGGGAGGAGAATAGCTTGAACCTGGGAGGCAGAGGTTCAGTGAGCTTAGATCGCGCCATTGTACTTCAGCCTAAGCGATAGAGTGAGACTCTGTCTCAAAAAAAAAAAAAAAAAAAAGAATTTTTGGGCCAGAATAGTGATCCCATTTAATAAATCCAAACAAACAGGAATAAAGAAATTTGGCACAATTATCCTTGCATCTATGTATTAGTTTGGTCTCATACACAGTAATATTTAGTTTCTGCCATATTTATTTAATAACACATTGGTAGGTGACTAATAAGGAGATTTGCAAAATTAATCCAAGAAATACAAAATCAAATATCACAGAGAACATTGTATTAAAGGATGTGATTATTAGTCATGCAGTGAAAACTGAAACCTAAGTCATTCCTTGTGTTAAATTGCACTTAATATCCAACTTTCTTTTTTACAAAGGCATTTCCTTTTTCACCACCAAAAAAAAAAAAAAAAAAAAAAAAAAAATAAGGTGAGCTTAGCCTGAGCCAGGATTTGTCCCGGAAATCATCAAAAGGAAAATATGGATCAGTTATATCTGCAATGATGAAAAGCAGCAGCATCCATTTAGTATTTGGCATTTGATGGAAACACTGACATGCTTTGAAGAGTTCATGAAAGCATTTGTTTGAGGGATGGCAGGACTGTTGGAGGTAAAAGTTTTTAAAATTGAACTCTACCTCATTTTTTTAATTGGTGAACTACAATTTCAATGAAGTATTTTCAATCTTTATCATGCACCAGACACTTACATGGTTATCTCACTTTGTCTTCAAATAATCTTGTCAAGCAGACAACCAGGAGCATATTTCAAGATGAGAAAACAATTCTCAGTGAGTTAATTAGCCTTATCAAGTTATTACAACTGGGTAGTGGAAATGGAATTTAAATCTTGGTTGAATTGATACTAAAATCCACGTTCTGATTAATTCATGCTGACTAAGAAAGATGAAGAAATAAAGCCTTAAAGAGACTATTAATGAATAATTTTACACTTCAGATTAACTGTTTTAAACACTCTGCTTGAGAAATATGACGAATAAATATAAATATGAATGAATATGATCTCTCTATATTACTTTTACTTCTGAGTTCTTAATGGTACCATTATAAAATATATGTTCTTTTATATTATCCAGCAGAACACCAAACATGTAGACAAATATTGAAAGGTTTTAAAAATTATGCTCTAAAAATGACTTATTGATAATTCAGCTCTCATTACCTTTGATAATTTTGTCTTGAATTCAGACTTATCTTTGGTAACAACGTCATTAATGAGACGAGATCGGTCATAAGTCGCATGTTCTGATTCATCCGTGTAATCCTTATCTTTTCCTAGGGCTATAAAAGAGAAAGAGAAAATTATATCGATTTTTAACATTTTTATTTTCTCTTTTTTCATTAAATGTAGTAATCTTTCCTCTTTTATGTTTTCCCAAAGTATAGCATATATAGGTATATATATATATATATATATATATATATATATATATANAAATTATATCGATTTTTAACATTTTTATTTTCTCTTTTTTCATTAAATGTAGTAATCTTTCCTCTTTTATGTTTTCCCAAAGTATAGCATATATATATATATATATATATATATATATATATATATATATATACACCTACCTATATATGAAAAAATATAAAAATTTATATATATGAAAATATATAAAATTTATGTGGCGTAATTTTCAGATAATCCATATATTCAATAAATAAGCAGATAAAAGTAATCACATGAAAATGTGCCTGCTATTTACTAACGCTGACACTGACAGTGATTTTCAGAAGAATTAAATGCATCTGTGCTATTGAATGTATTTCAAATTTTTGAAAATAAAAATAGAACCGTGAAAAAAATGTATCGCTAGTTTTGAACTTGAAGACAGAGACATCTGTAAGAACTGTACAAGTATTTATTTGCTTAATTAAAAACTGCATTGATTTTGAGAGTTTGTTTTCTTAAAAGCTGGACAAATTTGAAGTGTAAAAAGTCTGAGAAATCATAGAAAATATGTTAATAAACATAACAAGAAATATAGAAGAAATCAGGGGATTCAAACAACTGCCAGGAAAGAAGAGAGAACACTGAAAAATGACGGTTACTAGTAGAATAGCAAAAAGATAAAATGCTGTAATGTCGGTTACATATAACGATGTATGTGAACAATGAATAAGCTGTAATCAATGTAAAACAGTATAAAATAGGAAATCTCTACAGTGTCTGTATGGCCAAGAACTGTTGACACACTTCACAAAATTTATATTCCATATGATATAAATATCCCTTCAAATTCAAAAAACAGATAGATTGCTATATATTTTGCCTTTTCAAGCAAATCAAAACATCTTAAAGAGTTATTTTATTAGATTCGTTGATATCTACTAAGCATGAATTTTGTAATACAAAACAATAGTGCTGTCAAGAGTTCAGTCAAGTAACTTATTGTACAGAAGAAAAACAATTTTGTTTATAATATATGTATTTCTTTATAGGTGATGGTTAAAAAATACTATAGCATGGTATGTTATATCATGGGCAGCTAATAGTATCAGGTTCTTTGCAGTGGTATAAACTAAAACGTTATACCATAGGTCACATTATGTCTTAGAATGCAGTTAATAGCCAAATATGTTTAGAAGCTCTAAGCATTTAGTGGTCACACTTAGACCTACTAACTACACCTAACACTTATTGATGGTTAACATTTGCTAAGTGCACGCAATACGCAGAAACTTTACCTGTATTATTTCCTTTCATTCTGATGAAAACTTTAATTAATGGGTATAATTTCTTCCTACATTTAATAATAAGCAAAAAATGAACATGGAAATTAAGGAACGTGCCAAAGTCACTAAACTAGTAAAAGGTACATCTAAAACTGAAACAAATTCTGATCTGACTCCAAAGCTGATGCTTGTGAATACAGTATGTTTTCCCTAAATTTAGGTAAGTTACATTTTATTCATTCAACTTTTGTTCATTAAACAACTCTGATATGCAAGATATTCTTTTACAAGTTGACATTATAGTAGCAAACACAATTCTGCCTTCATAGAACATTAAAATAGGAGAAGACATGCAATTTCAAAATAAGTAAATTATTAATATGTCTTATGGTCAGTGCATTTGAGAAAAAATACTGTAGATAGGAAGGATGAAGGTGTGAAAGGCAGGGATTGTCATTTTAGTAAAGAACATAGTAGTACTATTTTGAGCAAATATATGGAGATTGAGGCAGTTAGGCACACAGGTAAACTGGAGGAAGATGATCAACATGGAGAAAATTTTAAAATGCAAAATCTGGATTTGCATTGAACTGTTACATAAGCAAGAAAGAAACTGAAATTTTGGAGTTATTTTCTTGGAGCAGCTACCAAAACCCTATCACTGACTTGTCAATTTGAAAGGCATAGGGTGTTTAGTGTTTTTATTTCCTTTCCGATTCTGTCTCTCTCTCTCTCTCCCCCTCTCTCTTTCCCCCCTCCCCCCCACCCCCCCCACCTTGGTTATTAGAGATGCAAAAAATCCTTATTTGGTTAAACAGGAATAGGGAAATGACATGTGCTATTGGGAAGCAGGCACCGGTCTGTGGATCACAAGACGTAATTTCTCTTTCTAAATCTGCCACTTCCTCAACATGCAATTTCCTTTTTCCCAGGTCTCTAAGGGTCTCTAAAATTATTTAATTATGAATTTAATGCTTATAAAAGATAAAATGATAATTTACATTAATTAATGTATTTTATTTTCCATGGAACACAGAAATTAAACCTATAGAAGTTCATTACTTATTTCCTGCTCCTATTCCACTCACAATTTAATTTTTTAGGCAGAGATATTTTGTTTACTTTTTTTTTTATTGCTATAACTCATCTATTCCTGGAACAGAAATATGCAACATTATCTTGCTGGAGGGAAGCTAACTTAATTTTGAACATTTGCCAAATACCACCATATTTATGAAGTTTTTTCAGATCTCTTTTCCCCTGCCCTACAGCATTGACTAGAGCTGATCATTTTCTCTTCTAAATTCCTTCACATTTGTGTTTTTCTTTTCTTTAGTCTGCTATTCTTCCTTCTCTCCTCCCCCCCTTTCTTTCTTGGTGTATTAGAGAAGTCAGCACAATATCTGGGTGACAAAACTATCTGCACACCAAACCCCATGGCATGCAATTTATCCATGTAACAAATCTGCACATTTACCCCTTGAACCTAAAAGTTAGAAAGCAAAGAAAAACTTTCAATAAATGAGTATTCACAGAATAAAAATGAAAAAAATATATATAACATAAGTAGGAAAATTCAAGTAAAGAGATTAAGGGAACAAATAATATTAGAGTATGCAGACAGTTTTAAATTATTGTCCTGATGAATAATATACAAAGATATTGCTAGGGCTTGGAAATGGTTTGTTTGGTCCAGGTCTCATGCTGAAATCTGATCTTTAATGTTGAAAGTAAAGACTGGTGGGAAGTGTTTGGGTCATAAAGCCGTATGCTTATATGTTTTAAGAACAAAACAGAGCACAACCAGAGACACATTCTAAAATTATAATCCAAAAGAAAGAAAATCTGTGTTCACAGGAATGTTTCTCTAAGCTTATGAATAATAAAACATATAAACTATTACCATCTTAATAAACAACAACTTTATTCTAGTTACTTAGGCTAAAACCCAGGGAGTGATCTTGACTCTTTACTTTCTCTTGGACCCTACATCAGATCCTTCACCAAATTCTGTTGAGTTAGCATGAAGCATTAACTCATTAGCACATAACACTCTTTAGCACATATCACTAACATGCAATGTGTTTTTACTTATTTGTCTTCATTTATTATTTGTTACCTTCACTAAGGAATTTTTAGTGAGCCTGGCATATATATGCGTGTTATGTGTATGTGTGTGTGTGTGTATGCATACACACACACACACACACACACACTTTTTTCCTTCACTTTTGTTATCTTGTTTGTTGACTGCTTTATACTTAACATCTAGAATAGGGTCTGACACATAGTTGCCAGTCAATAAATGTTTACTGAATGACTAACTGTATTTGAATGCCCAAATCCTATCTAAATTGTATTTAAATTTTATCTCAAAGCTGATCATTTATCAACACCTGATTACAGTTAATCAAAGCCATCACATCTCTTGAAAAGAAGTTTGTTAGGCTGGGCGTGGTGGTTCACGCCTGTAATCCCAGCACTTTGGGAGGCTGAGGTGGGAGGATCATGAGGTCAAGAGATCGAGACCATCCTGGCCAACATGGTGAAACCCCATCTCTACTAAAAATACAAAAAAATTAGCTAGGCATGGTGGCACGTGCCTGTAAGTCCCAGCTACTGGGGAAGGCTGAGGCAGAAGAATTGCTTGAACCCAGGAGGCGGAGGTTGCAGTGAGCCGAGGTCACCCCACTGCACTGCAGCGTGGCGGCTGGTGATGCAGTGAGACTCTGTCTCAAAAAAAAAAAAAAAAAAAAAAGAAGTCTGTTAGATTCTCTAAAACGATGTCCTGTTTCCATCTTTTGCTCCTACCACATAGTAGTCAGAGTGACCCTTTAAAAAACCTAACATAATTCATATTGCATCTCTGTTCAAACCCTCTCATAGTTCTGTGGCTCCAAGTAAGGTCACAGTTCATACAACAGCCCACTGGGCACGCATCATCTAGCTCCTTACTATCACTCCCCATCCAGCTCCTACAGCTCTACCCGCATGCCCCCCAATCCAGCTGCACCAGATTATTTGATGTAAAGTATGTCCTCACTGCAAGATTTTTGCACTTGCTTGTCTTTCTGCTGATAATGCTCAATCTCTGTTTAGCCAGCGTTCTGTTAACTTGTCACCTCATCAGAGAATCACTGACCATTGTTTCTAAAATACAGTCCCCATAGTTCTCCCTCTGCTCACAAGGCTTTATTATTTTTTATTATTTTTATCAGCACCTGACATCAAATGATACACACACATATAAACATATATGCTATATATATACATATACATCAGCATCTGGCATTGAATGTACATATTTATAAATATAAATGTTATCTCCTCCTAATTATAAGTGTTATTAGTGCAGTGACTGTTTTGTGCATTGTTATATCGCAATATTTAGTTCACTGTTAATTGCATTGTAATCTTTTAGTAAATTGTTAAATTAACTGATAAATGAATGGCATGTTTATATGTGGGAATATTTGCATCCATTAAATTGCTAATTTTACAGACTGACAATCTACAGAAATGATTAAAATATAATCTTAAGTTAAAAAAGCTATTTTAGGCTATTCTCACACATTTCACTTTAAATATAATTTTCCTTCTGA